CCTCCCCCTCCCCCTCCTCCCCCTCCCCCTCCTCCTCAGTCCCTCCCTCCCTCTCCTACGGTGGAGGAGGCGGCGAAGGTGCGCTGGCCCCGGCGGACGGCATCCCGGACGGCATGGAGCGAAGACGGGCGGTGCGGGGCGGAGGCCAGGCGGTCAAGCCCCACCTGGAATCGGTGCCCGGCTCGAGGTCGAGGTCAAGAGAGAGAGAGAGGACAAATGAAAAAGTTGAACACGAAAGATAGAGAGAGAGGGAGAGAAAATAAAGGAGAGAGAGGGAGAGAGAGATAACGAAAAGACGAGAGAGACGAGAGAGAGAGAGAGAGAAAGAGAAAGAGAGGGAGAAGGGAGAAGAGAGAGAGAGACGGGTAGAGAAAGAGAGAGAGAAAGAGAGAAAGAGCACGATCCGTCTAATGTCACCGGACTTTGCGCATCGCGCCCCGCACTGCGCGACGCACGGTCATCTTCGCGCCCTTGCGCCATCTGGAGAAGGGCAGCTCTCCCTCCCGAGCAGCGATGCGCGAAGCGCGATGATCTTCGCGCCCCTGCGCGTCACCTAAGCCCATCGGAAAGTCCCGAACTCGCCATCGCTCGGACGTCCATTCCCAGTTTTTTTGTCGGTTTCGTGCGTGGTTTTTTCGCGAAATGGTCAAGGATGCTCCTCGATAATCCTCGTCGAAGGAAACATGCACACGTCCGAGCGATGCCAAGGCGGTGCAGCTGCCGCGGGAGCGTCTGCCCCGCCGCTCGCAGGCGCTCCTGCCTGCGGCACGCTGCGCCCTGCCCAACGGCGACGATGGGAAACGGCGGCACGCCGCCAGGGCTCGGGCGGCGTGGCCAACGAGCCGAGCGGGAGAGCGCAAGCAAGAAAGACTCGCGATCGGCGAAGGCGCCCTGGCGGTCCCGATTCCGAGGCGCCAATCCCGCGGATGCGCGGTCGCACGGCTGCGTGCCGCGCGGGGCACCCGCGGACAGAAGCGCCCCGCATCCACGGAGTCGTGGCCCAGGAGCCCTGCCCGTGAGGCCGCGGATGCCGAGACGGCACTGTCTGACCTCAAGATGCGCGCACCAGTGGGGGCACCCAGCACACACAGCCTGCACGGCCAGGCGCAGCCCTGACTACCTACCACACCATCCCAACCCAACCCGAAGACCCGAATTTCGGGTTGGGGGGGGTAAGGGTTCCATATGCGTGTTTTCGATGTTTCCCGACCCCCCACCCACTGGAAATCGAGGGTAAATCTGAGCCTTCGGGTTGGGTTGGGGTGGTTTGGTGGGTGGCGCAGCCTGTCTGGTGCCAGAGTCAGGGGGGACGGCACCAGGGGGACCGGCTCCGGGGGAGGGGAGCACCTTGACACGGAGTCGGCAGTGCATCGCGGATAGATCGGGGACAGGCTCCCGAAAGCGAAAGCAAACGCTCCCAAACGGCGTAGGCTGTCAGGCCCATGCAGTGAAAACGTATAGTCAGGCCGCGTGGTAAGGACGCAAGACCCTTGGAGGCCGAAGTTGAAGTATTCTGGGCGGCAGGCGGCCAAACCCCCAGGGAACCTGAGAAACTGGCCTGCGAAAATTGCTAGGGACGGGCCGCAGAGGCTGAGGCAGGCAAAGGCCCAAGAGTACCCTTGAAAAAGCCGTTTGCCCTTACTATGCGCGTTGACTGCATCGGCAATGAATGGGCCGTGGAGGGTCGAAGCATTCCCCCTTGTCATGTCATGCACTGGGGTGGCGGGCGTTGTGTTCTGTACTGTGTGGGTGGGTGGGTTGGAGGCCACACACCGCGCGAGATGTGCAAATGCATACAAACTTGAGCTCTATCCCGCCTAAGGGTCAGGGGGGGATCAGTTCAGTGGGCTACGTTAGCTAGGCCACCCAACTTCGCGCAGCGCGCCCCGCGCCCCGCGATCCTACTCGCGCCGTGGCACCGCCGAGCCGCCCCCTGGGAGAAGGGCAGCTGCTCTGGCCCAGACCGCGACGCGCGAAACGCTATCATTTCCGCACCCCCGCGGGCGATCTGGATTAAGGCCCAATGTTGCCCCTTCGGGAGCGGCCAAGAGGGGGGTGTCCAAGAGGGGGGGGGGGTGCAAATCATGACCGGCGGCATGTGCGCGGCCCAGCGGGGGGGCCAGGGACGTAATGAAACAAGAAGAGGCGCCATAAAATCTGGGGAGATGTCATGGCCCCCGCCATGATATCCACCCCCCCTAGTCATCACCTCCCTCTTTTCCGCCCCCGAGTTAAGGCCCAACGTTGCCCCTGAGACGCGCAACCTGCATGGCCGGGCACAACCTTTCCGGTGCAGGAGGCGAGGGCGGCCCCCTTCCGGAAACTCCTCAGGTCCTCCTCTTCCGTCGGGGTGCAAGTTGGACGCCCGAGGCGTTGAGCAGCGTTAGCTCCCTCTCCCTTCCCTCCTCTTTTTCATTGGCTCAAGCACCAAGGTTCCGAGGACGCTCCAACCGACCACATATCCCACCGGCGTGGCCTGGGCCCCACTGGCCGATTTGGCCCCCTGGATGGGGATGTAGGCCGTTTCCTTCGGGTTTCGAGGGGTACATCCACAACTGGGGTGCTGAGATGGCGGGGGTCTGGGTAAGGATGGAGATGGGGATAGGGGTCGGTTAACCCTGACCAAGAATTAGAATCCCCCCTGGGTATTCGTTAGCACCAAAACGAAAAATCGCCTGCCCAACGGGCCAGAGTCGTGCTAAGATCTCCAGTAACTGAATATGTACCTATACGACCACCCTTCGGGTGATAAGGAGGTTGTGGGGAGGGGAGGGGAGAGAGGGGGGAACCAACATCAGACTCAATCGATCTCCCTATCGATCTCACTCAACGGGACACCACGGGACACCACAGGACACCACGGGACACCGCGGGACACTTCTCGATCTCACTATCGGTCTCACTATCAGTCTCACTCAACGGGACACCATAGGACACCACGGGACACCACGGGACGCCACGGGACACCTCGGGATACCACATCGATCTCACTATCGATCTCACTATTGATCTCGCTCAACGGGACACCACGGGACACCACGGGACACCACGGGACACCACGGGACACCGCGGGCCACCGCCGGACGGGCGGGAGGGGGAGAGTCATTTGTCTTGACTTCGCCCTAGCATTGGCGGGTTCACTCCTGACGCGCGCCCACGCAGCTTCGCCTCGCCCGCACGCACGACACGAACGAAACGAAACGATTTCCCGGTTGGGGGTCTCCGTTCCACTGCGATCTCACCCCCCAACCTCCGATACTCTAATTCGCGCGCGCGGGGCGACCCTGGGGGTTCCTTGGCGACAAGTACCCCCCGAACCCCTGGCACGGTCCCTGCAGACTCGGATCAGAGATGGTTTTGCACCAGGTGCGTTTTTCGGGGCCCTCCAGATCGCCGCAGGAGCGGCCCCAGGAACCTCGATGCAGCTCCAAAATGGCCCACGAATCGGAATCACGGCCCAAGAGCGCTCCAAGACGCCCAAGATGGCCCCAAGAGGCCCCAAAGAAGCCCCCAGAGCGCTCAAAGAGGACCCCAAGGAGGGCCAAAGGGAGCAGAAGTCATGGATTTTCCTGGTGTTTTCTATGTTTTTCGCGTTCTCGCGTTTTCGGGCTTCCGCCGCTCCAAAATGGCCCCAGAGGCCCACAAGACCGCCCCAAGACGGCCCGAGAGGTCGTGTCCCAGGGACTCCGGGAAGGGTGGCTGTGGATCGGCGGCGAGCCAGGGGGGGGAAGTGAGAAGGAGAAGGCCTTCTGAGAAGGCGGCGGGGCTTCTCAGAAGGCCCCCGCGCCTTCTGAGAAGTCTCCTGTGCGTTCGGGGAAGGCTCAGAAACCTCTGCAGGAGGCCAGGGGAGCTCCGAACCTTCTGAGAAGGCCCTCTCCTTCCCCTTTCCCCCCCCCCTCGCTCGCCGCCGAGCGGACAGCTGCCCGTCCACGCGGGCGGGCAGATGCCCACCGTCCCACCCACCACTCCTCGAGGCCCCCGAGCGCGACGCCGATCTGGCCCTCGGCCCCCGCGCCGCCGCCCCCCGGGCCGCCGCCCCGGAGGAGGGCGCCTGCTCGACCCGAGCCGCGACGCGCGGAGTGCCACCACTCTAGACGTGTCCTCGGCGTCTTGGCCGCATTTGAAGGGGCCCCAGGACACTCAGAATAGATGCACACAGATAAAAAGATCCCCCTATATTTTCCCAGAGTCTCTGGGGTTCTGTCGTCCCCCCCACTTCCCATATTTTTTCCCACATCTTCGGGGGAGTCGAGGATTCACTGTGTCTCTGTGTGTTTTTTCCTCTCCTGAGCATTCTGGCCCCAGCGGGACCTCGCCCCGGCGCCTCGACGGTGCCCCTCGCCTGCGCCCCCGGAGAGCGACCCCCCTCTGACGGCTCCCTGCCTCCGCGGTCCGAGCGGCCCCCGCCTCGGCGGCCCCCAGGCTTCTCTGCTGCGCCTGCGCCCCAGAGGTCCTGGCTCCGGCGTCTCGAGTAAGGGGGCCACGTGCGAGCCCTGCCCCTGTAAAACGACGCGAAGATCGGGACAAAATCGGATCGGGATAACTCGAAATCTCTGAGAATCGGCGGGTTTGGAGGATGCATTGGGCGCCGCGGCCGCTCCAGAGCGCTCCGGAACGCTCTGAGAGCGCTCCGGAACGCTCTGGAGCGATTTATCCCGATCCTAGCCCTGTTCTACCCTGCCCCCCCCCCCCCGCGACTTCTGAGGGGGGAGGGGGGGCGGGCTTCACCCCGCTCGGGAGCTCCCGAACGAAGGGGGCCCCGGCCTCCCCCCTCGGAAATGAAATCGTGGGGGGGCAGGGGTGGGGCTCGCACGTGGCCCCCCCTGCTCGACCGCATCCTGGTCCTCTAGGGCCTTCCGCGACCGGGCGTTGCCTCATTGGGGGGGCGACGACCGGGCGGCGGGGAGGAGCGCGCACCTCCCGTGCCCCTTGCGGGCCCCCCGGGGGGGCGCCGTCGGGGCCCCCCTTTGGGGCACGGGCGGTGCACCTCGCTTCGCCCCCTTTGCGACGCGACCGCGCGCCCCCACGGTACCAGCCAGTCGGAAAAAGCACGTGGAAGCACGCAGTGAGGAGGCCGATTCAGCAGATTGGGCTCGAGCCCGCCCAAAGAAGGCAGAGAACAGCAAAAACGTATCGACTGCTGAGGTAGGAGGACGCTTGAAGTAGACTGGGATCTGAGAATCCAGAAGTACGTACCTGCTTCCAGAGACGAGGCGCGCACAGCCGACCCGCATCATCAGGATGCACGGTAAGGATGCAGGGGCCTCGGGCGCCCATGTCGAAGCTTCTCGCGCGGGGCGCGGCCAACAAAAGTGGCGAAGGATGGACCGAGGAGGCAAGGAAGCAGGGGTATCCTTCGGAAAAATTGCACATCCTTCCCATGCGTTTTTACTGTACGCAGCGTCCTCCGCGACCCCGCCCTGCCCGAGCCTGCGGGCTCGTGTGCTGGCGCGCGACCCCGGCCAGCCAGCTTGGGGGGCGGGGTGGCGCTCGTTAGGGCGGCGGCCAGCCCCCACGCGGCTCGGGCTGCTCGCAGTCGAACGGCGACGACGAAGCCTCCGAGGGGGGGGAGGGAACTTCTCCATCCCTCCTCCATCCCTCCTCCATCCCTCCTCCATCCCTCCTCCATCCCTCCTCCATCCCTCCTCCTCCCTCCGCCTCCTCCCCCTCCTCCTCCTCCTCCTCCTCCTCCTCCCTCCTCCCTCTTCCTCTTCCTCCTCCTCCCTCCCCCTCCCTCCTCCCTCCTCCCTCCCCTCCCCCTCCTCCCTCCTCCTCCTCCCTCCTCCCTCCTCCCTCCCTCCCTCCTCCCTCCCCCCTCCTCCCTCCCCTCCTCCCTCCTCCCCCTCCCTCCTCCCTCCTCCTCCCCCCTCCTCCCTCCTCCTCCTCCTCCTCCTCCCTCCTCCCCCTCCTCCTCTCCTCCCTCCTCCCTCCTCCTCCCTCCTCCTCCTCCCTCCTCCCTCCTCCTCCTCCTCCTCCTCCTCTCCTCCTCCTCCCCTCCTTCTCCTCCTCCCCTCCTCCTCTCTCCTCCTCCTCCTCCTCCTCCTCCTCCCTCATCCTCCTCCTCCTCCTCCTCCTCCCCCTCCTCCTCAATCCCTCCTCTTTTTTGTTGCCATCCACGGCGCCTCAAACCAAGCTGCAGACTGGAGGCTGAGTCCTGCAGCAACGCGAAAAAGTACTGGAATCCATATTTGACCAGGTGAAGATTGAGACTCACTCCTGCTTTATCAGGGTGTTTCCCTTGCCTGATCTTGGTCCAGTTGTGGTTGCCTGCGGTGGTCGGAAATGTACACATCTTGCCCAGGTTACACACCTGAGCATCAGAGGAATACGACCGACATCTGAGGCAAAAGAAAACATGCGAATTGTCACTTGCCTCGGGGGCAAGGACGCGGAGCTGGAGCCGATCCAATACGACGCTATCAAGCCTGCTGTGGCCACGACACGAGTCCTCGGCTGGACAAGAGGCGCTGGTCGAACCTTTGAGGCACACTCTGCAACGCCACAAACCAGACATACAGGCCCATTGGTGAGGGACTCGCCTTTCAGCAGGAGGAGCAGGAGGAGGAAGGACCCGCTCCAACCCCCGAAACTCCACCCGAGGAAAGAGGGGAACCACGGCAGCAGGAAGGTCCATGACACACATGGCTATCTTGTCATTTGATAAATCTACCGCTTCCAAAACTTCTGCAGAGAAACTGGGGTGCCAATTGACTGCACGCTCGGCCCCCGCATCCGCAAAATGACTGCCACGCCTGATGAACCTCTCGTGGGCGGCGATACCTAACTCATCCAGATCCTTGTGAGCATCTACCTTGGTCAGGCTGGTTAGCTCCGAACCAGCCCCAGAAACCCCATGAATCAGACGCCCCGCGTACTGTAGCTTGGGAGACAAAAACCTGCCAGGGCCCTGGAGAAACAGGCCCACAACATTCTTGCAGTCGCTGAAACACTCAGCACCAGCCCCCAAGGAGAAATTCAAAGCCCCAAGCGCCCCGAACTCCGCAGCCTGGGGTGTCTGAGGGCAGGGGGCCCAGACAAGGGCTGTGACTTCGCACAGCAAGTTAACGCGTTCATCCGTCATGGCCAGAGACAAACCAGAACGGGGAAGCTCAACCACAGAGCGTTTGAAACAGCGACCCTCCAGTAAAGCAAAACCCCAGAGACCGAGGTCAGGATGTCTCTTGACAGGGGCAACGCCTCGGGCACATACCAATCCACATGAACTGCACCGTCCGCTGAAGACTTGGGCAAATCATCTCCTGGATGACGAAATGCTCCGTGCACGAACAACTTCTATTCATACTGCTCAGATTCAGTGTCCAGGGCCAGCGCAAGAATAGCTTCGGGAACGAGGCGCTCACGCTCGGCAGCACAAGCTGGACATTGCCATAACCTGTGCCAGAGCGCGTCATCAGGCTGTCCACGCAGTCCACAGACCGCAGGGACGTCGTAGCCAGCATTCCTGGCAGCCACGCTGGTCCAGATGGCGTTGCTGGCAAGGGCCCTCATGGTGGAGTTATCCTGATAACTAACTTTCCTAGAACGAAGCTTTTGCCGAACGATGTCCCAACTAAGACGGTGGGGCACCCCGAACAGGGTCCGAATCTCTCTCCAACCCCCTGAGCACCGCAACTCTGGCCAACTGGGCGACAAGCTTGGGGGAGAGAGTGAGGAGGTTGAAGGGGGAACCCCTGTCGTCCAAACACACGCGCAGAAGGACGTCATGGTCCACCCGAGCCTATAGAGGGTCATCCGAAGAGCACTGAGGGGCCCAGAGACTTTGGCCCAAGACCAGTCGCCCCTGCCAAACACGTGGGCCCACGCCTCACGGAGAAGCATGAAAAGGAAGGGATCCCGCAAACTGCCTAGTCTGTATCAGCCACAACTCCTTGGCGTATAGCGAACCAGGGGAGCCATGCTGACACGCCGCGGCGGATCTCCTTCCAGCAAGGAGATCACAGTCAAGGACCAGCGCTGCGACTCAGGGGCTATCGTCGACATCCCCACGGAGCGGAAACAGTGCAGCTCCGAATCGCGGGTGCCACACACTTCAGCTCCGTATGGGGCCGCTCGCCAAGGGGCCCGAAGGGTGGAAATTCGGAGAGATTTCTTCGGCCGAGGACCTCCTCGTGTTAGCTCCCGCTCCCTCCCCTCCTTCTTTCATTGGCTCAGGCACCAAGGTTCCGAGGCCGCTCCCGGCCCCCGTGCTTGCACAGCCTTCGGGCCTTCCTCCGGGCGGGCGCCCGCCGGCCCTCGAACCTATGCCAGACTTGCCTCTGCCCGCGCCGCGAGCGCGGAGTGCGCGCCCGGCCGTGCGGTCCACGCCCAGGCTGACCACGGACGGGGCCGACTCTCCAGCCGGAGCGCCAAGCTGCAGCTCAAGATGCTGGGCGACCTGCTGGCTGCTGCTCACGAAGCCTGCCTTGCCCAAGGCCAGGGAGCAGCCCAGGACTTTCGTGATGGCCCTGTGAAGGCCACGCGCGCTCAAGACTAGGCCCGACACCGCATCTTCAGGCGCGCCTGTCCGAGACAGGCCTGCGTCGTCGATGTAGGCATCGAAATCAGTGCCGACTTGGATGGGAATACCTTCGAACGCAGACATCGCGAAAACTCTGATAAAACTCGTGGCCATCGAGCAGTGACCCCCGAGAGGGCCCAGTAGGGCCCGTCCAAGATCCCTCCGAGAGACAGGTACCTAACCGGACGATAGGCCTCCAGGCACATTCGGGTGATGCAGCGAGGGAAGTAATGCCGCAAGCACTGATGCTCGAGCGCGGGAGGGGCGAGCGACGACGACGACGACGACGACGACGACGACGACGACGACGACGACGACGACGACGACGACGACGACGACGACACCTCGACCCGCCCGCGACCCACCAGCCCCAATGACCCGAAGAAGCACGAAAACGCAACACCCAACAACACAACACGACACAAACACAATCAACCTCCTCCCCCCCCTGCTCCCTGACGTCCTCCGCCTCCTGCTCCTCAACGTCCTTGTCCTACTCGTAGTCTCCGTCCGCAGGGTCGGCGGCACCGGCCGTAAGGCCTTCGCAATAAATCGTGAGGAACTGCAAAGCGAGAGCGTGATTCACGAGAATCGAGGGCGCACCTTACGCGAGATGACATAACGATCTTGCGCCGCGGTTTGAGCGAGCCGCCAGCGCGGAACGCTACTTTGGAGACGAGGACGCTTACGCGCGACCTTACGCGAGCTGCTTACGCGCCGATGTCCGTACCGGCGACTCGTTGTTCTGCGTCGCTCACGTGGGGTCCGGGCAAGTGGAGTCGGAGGATGGCGCCGTATCGCCAATGCATCGCCGATGCATCGGCGACGTCGGCGTGGAGAAAATGGGGGTCCACAACGAGCCACATCGTCGATGCATCGTCGATGCGGCGCGATCCCCTGACCCCATCTACTTTTAGGTCGGGCGCGCCCCCCTACAGGGGGATTCCCGACGAAAAATGCAAAGTGCCCCCAAAATAAAAAATACTCCCAAAAACAGTCTGGTGACCATTTCTTGAGTATGTTGCTGACCTTCTTGGGGTATTTTTGGGGGTGCTTCCATTTTTCGTCGAAAATCCCCCTGTGGGGGGGCACGCCCGACCTAAATCTGCTTGGACCCCGTCTGGGCGGCGTGGAAGGACTGGCGGCGGGGGGCTCGGCGGGGCACCGCCGGCAGGTCGGCGACGGGCCCTCGATGGCGAAAAGCCACGCGCTCCTGGGAGCAGTGGGCCGCCCAGGCCCAGACTGACTACCTGCCAGACCACCCCAACCCAACCCGAAGACCCGAATTTCGGGGTGGCTTGGTGGGTGGTGACAGACAGGGTGTCGGGAACAAGTGAGCAACACTCACGCAGAACATACGGCTTGAACCTCCCCCCCCCTCCCCCCCCCAAATCTGGCCATCGCTCGGACGTCCATTCCCTGTGCTTCTGTTCGGTTTCGCGCGTGGCTTTTTCGCCAAATGATCAAGGATGCTCCTCGGTG